CTTCCTTCCGAGGAGTGGCTGGTGGGTTTGAACCGCCAGCCTTCTGGTGAGCAGTCAAGTGCCTTAGGCACTATGCTACCAGAGCTCCTAGGAACAAAAAACTACTTAAAAAAATATACTATTCACATAGTATGAAATGAAATGGGCCTACTGGATCAAGAGCGATGGTCATCTTCTGCTGACACAAATAATAAAAAAGATCCAGAAGATTTTAACCATAGTCAAAACTGGGTGTGGGATACATGGAGATTCTCTTGTTATTACCTTCTCAATTTTGCTGTAAATTTAAAACTCTTTTAAAATAAAAAGTTAAGGTGGAGGGAAGAGCCCAAGAAAAAGATCCAGAAGGGAATGGGAACATCAAGAGGGTTTTTATGGCTCCCAACTATTTCTGTCACACATTGTCTATTTTTAAATATAATTCGTCTTTCCTTCACTAGGGATCTACCACTCGTGTGCCATTAGAAAGGGATTTTTATAAACAACCATTCCAAATAGCCTCCTCATTTTCATGCATTCAATAAGTGACTGAATACCCCTCTAAGAAACCAGCCAGCTCCTGTAGGTACAAAGATAAAACCCCTACCTTCAAGAAACTTACAACTACAATAAGCATTCAAATCAACAGAGAATTACAATTCACTGTGTCACTACAGTAGCACATACAAGGTAATATGAGAACAGAAAACAGGGACATCTGATTCTGAAATGTAAGTTCAAGGAAAGTATCCAGAAGCAGGTTTTCTAAAAGTGTGACCACTTTGCAAATGATACTCTGACTACAACTAAATTAAAGATTATAGTTTCTATAAACACGTAAGAAAAACTAATGCAATTATTGATTTAAAAGTATACAATTATACTTTTATTTCAATTATTTAATCTTAATCATACCTTTCTTTCCCTGGATTGTTTTACTAAGCAAATAAATATATTTTTAAAGTTGCCCATGAAATTCATTTCATTGATGATCTTTCCTTTTCTCTGTTCACGCTACACATGTTGCTATAACCTTACTTTTTACTCCTCAAAACAGTTTTAAGATGTTGGGATATTTTCTACTATTTGACTTTACTGGAAAAGAAAGTATTAAGTAATGTCACTATTCATTTATTTACTGATTCAACAAATATTTACTGACTGTTTTGTCCTAGGCATTATTCAAAAGGGAAAAAAACTGAGGAAATACAATGTTAAGCTAACATAATTATTTTAAAATACAATGCAGAGTTTTATAATGTGAAGTTTTACATTTACATCTATGGTCCTTTCTGAGTTAATTTTTATATATGGTACAAAGTATGGATCAAGATTTGATTTTTACATATAAACAGCCAACTGCTGCAGTACCGTTTGTTGAAAAGTTTATCCTTTCTTCATTGAATTGTCTTTGCAGTTTGGTTGAAAATCAACTGACTGTAAACATGTGGGTCTACTTCTAGGCTCTCTATTTTGTCCCACTGATCTATTTGTCTATTTTTATGTTAATACCTCACTGTCTAGATTACTGCAGCTTTGTTGTTGTTGTTGTTATGTGCC